TGCAGAGAGGCATTTGGTTATTTTGCTGCTAGAGATGTTGATGAAGCAATGAGAACGGAACAAGCGCAGTCTAGGATTAGAAATGGTCCAAGTGTGGCTGTGGAGTCCTCCGTAAGATGCCATAGGCATCCTGCAGAGACTGTCTCCTGCTTCCTTGCAGTAGTGCTGCTGTGGCATCTCCCCACTAGCCCCTGTGAAGCCGTAAGAAATCACTGTGCCATCAGTGCAGGGGCTGCTGAGAGGGAGCTGGCACCCATTGGCTGTACGGCCAAAGGGAAGGGTGGTCAGCTCTGGGAAGAGGAGCTGTGCACATGCAAAAGTGTGCAAAATGGGCTCCCCTGAGGCTATCTCATTAGCTGCGGAGAGCCTCACGTCAACTAACTGGTTCTCTCCAGGTTTTCCAGTAAGACTAGAAGAATTGGACTAACACTGCGTTCTGCAGATAGAGCAACTGGGTTTTGTTAAAGAAGATTGCAGGGGTTGCCCTGAGGATGCTCTGACCTCCGTGTCTCAGCTCAAAGCTCTCTGTGAAAGGTCCTTAGACCCCTTCCTGCTCATGTTTTCTGTTCGCATGACTGGTCTCATGCTGTCCAGCATTTTGGCTGACTCTTGCTCCCTGAAGACTTAAGCTTGGGCACCCATCCCGCTCTGCTTTTTCCCAAGGTCTGCTGTGAAGAGTCAGTCTGTCTAATAGCATCTGCCCTCTCAGGGGGTCTGAGAAACTCCAGACTGACATTTGCCAGTTAATCATTTGCTCCTTTGAACACTTCCTCCTTATTAGACATGTTCAGAGAAAACATATGACCTGGAGTGCGAATGCTTCAGGAGGCATGGGTTCGCCCTGGATCTTTGTGCTCAGACCAACCCGTTCCTTTACCCAGCAGCTGTGGACAATGATGTCTCCTTCCACTGAGACCCACAGAGATGGAGCCCAGCTCTCCTGTCGGCTCAGCTGCAAGTGGTGGTGAGAGAACAAGACTTTGATACTCCTTAGTGAATGCTTTCTGGAATGTAGATATTTTTAAAAAAGCCCCAAGAAGAAAACAGTCCCCAAAAAGGCCCCAACCAGAACCTCAGTGAAATTCAAAAGAGGATGCTTTGGTGCTTTCCTTCCATGGAGAAAGAAGAAGCATTTTCTTCAGGTTTGTATGACTCATCATGCCTGTCTAAAAGACACTGGGCTTTTTGGAGGCAGTTTGAGGTGAGCTCAGAACTGGAGTTGAAATCAAATTCACCTCTAGAGAAACATTGTGCTTCAGGAGGGGCAGCAGCCAGTTCTCACTGGGGGCCTGCCTAAAGCCCCCTCTCTGGGGTAACTGTGGCAATGTTTTCTCCTTGCAGCTATTGACCCTCTGCTCCGGTCTGCATGTTCAGACAGAGGAGAGAGTGTGCATGCTTCATGCCAGGCTGACTTGTCTGTCCCTGGCAGCTCCATCGGGAGGAGCATGATCCCTGAGGTCTTAGTATCCTACTGCTGTTCATTTCAGTGCCCAGGCACGTATTCAGTATTTTCACTTCCTGTGCAAGCCTGAAACCAGCACGAGCACTATGGGCACGTCCTAAACAGTCTCTGCTCCCTCAGCAAGGGACAGAAGGCCAACAAGGTGGGGGACCTCTGTTGACCCATGCCAATGCCTTGTGTGAGGTCAACAGAAACTAGTCCAATATGTTGGCAGGAGGCCTTAGGGGTGAGAACTGCCACATCCAGCCTAACCTCACGAATGTTATACAAAATTCATCTGAGAGGCAAATGAAGCCTCTCCAGCATTCCTGACCAAGAACTGTGACCCAGAGAAATAGGCTTGGTAAAACATGTTCAAACAGGCACAAAGCACTGTGAGAGTGATGAATGAAAGGGCAGGAGCTCACTGCTGCTCTGCCTGGAACATAATCGGACTGAAAAGCAGTATGTATGTGGCTCATGAGAAATGTATGTAGAGCTGGGCTGATTTAAGGGTATTTAGCTCTGAGCAGGCGTCACCCTGTCCGGCTGTGGCAAACACCAGGTGCATCAAAGGTGGTGGTTAAACCCCTCTGAGGGAAGCGATTATGAAATGAGCTGACCCGGATGCAGATTTCTTTGCCCTTGAGCTGAGGGTGAAGGCTTAAGCAGGAGTTCTACATCCCTTCCAATCTTGCTTCTATTTAATCCTTGCTAATGCAGCTTGGAAAGCGCTGTGACCATTTGTCCAGCCCTCCTCTGGGCTTCTGGATTCGAGACATGGTGACTTCTGCAAGGTTTGGGTGAGTTGCAGGTTCACTGAACCACAGAATGGTTTGTGTTGGAAAGGACCATAAAACTCATCCAGTTCCAACCCCCTGCCGTAGGCAGGGACACCTTCTGCTAGACCAGGTTGCTCAAAGCCCTAATTAAAAGAAGATTTTCTGTTCTGTCTCAATCTTCTGTTTGATTTATCTTCCCCACCATTTTTTTCTGTCTCTAAGGAGGGACGACAGTAAAGCAATAGTCTTAAAAGCCAGTTCTGACCTTGTAGCATCTTCATTCTCTTCCCCTTCTTGCTTTCTCTTTTTAATATCTGTTGTTTGGATGAAATATCATAAACGTATCCTTTAAGCATGGATCTGGAGGCTCTGAACTATTTTACCTTTAGATAAACCTAAATAGATGTTAGGTTCGGCTGTTCCCATGCACAAGCCAGTATCTGCAATTCTGAGCAGTGGTGTTCAGTACTTCTGAAAATAAAGCTAGCCCTTTCAGATGAAGTCTCCACTTGGTCATGTAACTCTGGTCAACACTGCTCTGTACACTGGAAAACCATTAATCTAAACAATAATTTCTGCCTGTTACTGAATGATGCATAGGGTGCTGTGAACCAGACTCTTCTTCATTGCTTCACAGTAAGGTACAGACAAATACAGACCTCTGGAAAACGTGTTTGCTGGCAGGGAAGCTCTGTGCGGCATATGTCTGTGAAGTCTTGAAGAGCAGGGCTGAGGGATGGAGATGCTATGTCCCAGAGGTGTGTAGATGGGAAATTCCTGACTGCTCAGGAACTGGGCTTCTATGTCCGTTTTATTTTCCATTTTACCCATCTGTGAATGGTATTTGGCACCAGCTAGTTTTTCAGCTATCCCGTACCTTCACATTCATCTGGATAGGCTGGTTTTTTTTTTGTCTGGCTCTGTAAGCTACTTTTGTCTGTGCTATTGCAGAGTGGGAGCCTCCTCCTGTGTGCTTGGTCCGGCTGTTCATTTCCTAGCCCTTCCTGCCCCCCTTTCTGTGAATGAATGCAACCTTCTAGAAGCAGGGGAGACATGGGGACTTCTTCTAAGCTTGTTTTATCATGCTTGTGGTAGTCATCTTTGTGCTAGAAAGCCCTTCACCTGTTTCATCACTTTTTTCCCCCAAAGTATTTGGTAGACTAGTGTTAGCCTACCAAAAGTTAGGTCCATCAAAGTACCCACTGCAGCCCCAATGATGAATAGTTGGGCCAGTGGGTGGTAAATAAATATATCCAAGACCCCTGCGCAAGATCTACTGCTCGCCTGTTACAGAGGTGTGATGGACTAAATCCTGCAGAACTAGCACAATGCAGAAAGGTGGGAGAAGAAATGGAGGTAAAAGTCCAGGAAAACCTGGAGCAGAACAGTTACATGGCATGAGTCAAGATACTTGTTTGTCAATATGCTCCTGAGAGAAAATGCAGTCATTGGAGGGCTAGCCTTGGAAGAATGTGTAGATTGTGATTCCATACATCTCTGCTTAAAGAGCCTTAACTGTGTGTTCCTGTGAATTATGTGTCTCCTGTACTTTGAATTGCAGTTTGAAGCTGACGCTTACCCTAAGGTATTTGGTGGAAGTGCATAAACATTATTATTGTCCTGGGGGGCAGAATGTTCTATCTGGCTTCTCTGGTTTAGAGTACTTTTGTAAGCTAAAGCCTTCGCCAATGTGAGCCATGCAGTGACTTGCTATGCTGTAACAATTGGCTGCCTCAGACATAGGGCATGAATATAAAGGCCACTGAAGAATTTATAGAGTTAATGACTTATTTCATCTGTCACTTCAGACAGAAGAATTACGGGCTCTGTCTTGCCCAGCTGGGAGGAAACTTAATGCTGACTGCAGACAGTTTCTGCACTACAGTAATTGCTGGTGTGTGCTTTATCTTGGAGATTGGATTTGTCCCCACCTGTTCAGAAAACTAATTTCAACCTTAGTCCTGCAGCCTTTATCTCCTCTGAGAAACTGGACCTTTACTGTGTCAAACTGCTTGTTACAAGTAGGAAGCAGTGGGAGGGTGCTGGTGGCACTGGTCCTGGGTGGCGCTGGGTTCATCTGTCCAACTCTCCCCCCAGATACTCCCCTGCTAGCCTGGGGGACCACCCTGTGCCACCTTCCCACTTCATGGTCACGGGAGCAGGTTTGAGTTGTGTGGTATGGTCATAAGAACAGGTTGAGCCATTGTCCTGATCTAGATGGTGGTGGTTAGGTGTGAGCTGCCCAGCAGGGACCCACAGACAACACTTGCCACACATTTGCATACCTTATTATCCTTTTCCCCATTTTTGATCAGCCTTGTTATAGCCCTTGCACTTCCCCTTCTCCGTCCCAGCCTCCCCCTAAAGAAACAGCCTGCCCCAATTATGGTTTTCCCATGGGTGCCAGTTTTGCAACATACATGCTCAAATTTGCTATTACTGATACTATTCCCTAGGCATTTTTAACCCCAACTGGTATTACTAAGATGGTTGCCATGTGCTGCTGGCCTTGCAGCAGGTAAGCCTGTTAAAGATATGGGGGGTTGAGTGCTCTGACACCACTGCTTAATATTGAGATGCTTGGGTTTGAAGACAGAGATGTGATCTCTTTGAAAGTATTCTTGAGTTGGCCCATGTCTGGTCTGTGCATCTTGGGGGTGACAGAGTTAAATGAACACTTTGATTCCCACCTGACAGCCCACCTGAAAGGATTTAATGTTTCTGCTGCTGTTTTTTCACTGAAAGGTAGAAAAGCTTTGTTTATTTTGACTCCACAGGCAGAAGCACTTGTGTGGGATAATGATGTATCGGCTCATGCCCAGACTGTTGCTAAGGCCAAATATGAATTTTTGTTTGGCTTGGAAGAAGAGAAGCCTTCAGAAGTGGGTAAGTGCTGTTGATTACTTTTGTGTGAAAAAAATCCAAACCTCTTCTAAGCCACGCAGGAAAGTTTTACAGAAGCTGCTCAATGACCCACAGCTCACTGTGCTACGCTGCCCTTCACCCAGGCCACAATGTAAGTACCAGACCAAAGGAGCCCACAAGTTTGGCCGCAGAAAGTCACAACAGTTCCCTGTCTTACACTCCCACCTTTCTCTTTGGCTCACCTGGCCACCTTGATGTGACAGCGGGGACTTGTGCTGGAGACACGGCGCAGGGAGTCCCAGCTCTTCTCTGCAGCAGAGTTGTTTCAGCCACACGTTCTGCAATTGCACGTGCTGAAACGGGGCTATCTCTACGTGGAGGTCCTTCCAGGAATGCCCTTTGTGGTCTGCATGCTGCTCTTCCTACAGCCAGAGGTGGATTAGTTTAATTTAGGTACTTGAGGTTGTACCTGAACTGCTCTGTCCTTTGTAGTTCACAATTCAAGAAATCCAGGTGCAGTATCTAATGTTATTGCCTAAGGATCAGTCTTGTTTCTTGTTCTTTTCTTGTAAATACAGGACATTTTCTACCTTTTCGTAGCCCAAGCTTAGAAGAAAAGAAATGTAGCTAATAAAAAAACGTATTTCTCTTGCCTCATTATAATTATCAACAGTCCCTGCCCTCTTTGCAAAAGTATTTCCTCAGGCTTTTCTCATTGCACCTTGATCCTTTCTAATTGCAAACTTTCAGGAATGTTACTTTTAATTAAAGAAGACTCCTTTCTTGCTGGAGAAGGGCAGCACTTTGTACAGAAACAAACTGTGTAGGCTCCTCCACTTCAGTAAGGAAAGGAAAGAAAAAACCCCAAGAACAAAAAAAAAGCAGAACTGATATCTGGAAAGTGAATAAACAGTTTCTCCTTGGGTTTTCTAAAGTTTGGTATTCCACTTTGGAAATCCTAATTGCAGACTGAAGGGGAAAAAAACCCAAACAAAATGTTCTCCTTTATGAATTTTAGACTTTTCTAAATTGCCACAAAATGTGCATCGAATTATTACATGAATCATGATGACCTCACTTCTTGTTTGGAAAGACATAGTGCGGGAGCACTGTCAGCAGGCATTAGTACATTTCCGGAGATTGGCATCAAATAAAGTATGCTGTGTCTGATAAATCCAAGTGAATCTGTTGTTATTACTAACCAAAGCAATTATCAAATGTGATGGGTATTCTGAGCTGACTGAGTACTGAGCCCTAAAATAAATGGTGGCAAAGAATAAGCCAGATACCATGACCTGTGTGTGTGCTTTTCTGTATTTTTCCTGTGCTGCTTCTTGCCTTATATTTGAATCTCTTTCTGTTCCTTTATTAATCAGAAACTACCAGTAGGGGCTAACATTAGTGAAATGAGAGTGACTTCAAGGGTGAGTTTCCAAATATTTAACAGTAGTTAACATATAATGTTTGTGAATTGTACCTGAAAACTGGGTGACATTGTGCCTGGCTTCATGCCATCACAGACAAATGTGTCCTCCTCCTAGTCCTCCTTCTTTTCCTCCTCCTCCAGGAAGATGTTTGACTGCAATAGATGAATGAGAGTGGTGCTACTTCTTCTATGTGTTTTCACTAAGTCAGCAGGTTTTAACGACTTATTAGCTGAAGATTAACAAGGATGGGGCGACTGAGGGCACAGTAACACAAGCCAAGGGCTCTGTAACTAAATCATGGCTTCTTTTGATTTGACATATGTCAAATACGTCATGGCAAATGTTTAGGGGGCAAGTGGCTGTGCCTGAAAGTCTCTCTGTTCTTCTCTGTGTTAGATGGGAAGGGAAAAACCACCACCAAAAATCCAAACAGACCTGCTACTTTCTAGAGTTGCCTTTGCGAGAAAGAAGATGTGCTTTTTGTGGGTCAAAGTATGAAAGATTTAAAGTAAACGAATGATGGAGGCAGGGGCAGGAGAAGTACTAGCGTTTAAACTTGATCAAAAGAACAGTTTGTCACTGTGGGCAGTAAAGCTGAACTTTAATTTCACCCATGCCTTGGCTGGCTTCAGAAATTGAGAGTGTAACATGTAAGTGGCTGAACGGCCTAATTAATTCTGCCTCCCAGTTTATCCTTTCCCTTTCAGCCACAGCCATATTTACTGATTCTCTGCTGGATGATGTTGAGAGTATAAATATTTTAATTTGGTACTAAAATATTTGCATAGAACAAGCCAAAGAAGAAAGAATAATTAGGGGTGACTATAGCAAACATTTCTGTTTGCCTAGGTGGGAGATGGCAGACTTTGTTAATAAGCTGCCTTGCTGATTTTTACCTTCCAGGTTGAACCTTGTGGTTATTTTCACAGGTGAGAGGAGAAAAAAAAAGTTAGATGCCTGTAGAAGAGGTGTTTCATTGATGATATTTAAATGCTAATAAAGCTGCCGCATGAAAACCAACTCCTCCTCATTTCCCTCCTTCACTGCCCTCAGCCTGGTTTTACCTGGGATTTTTGATCCCTGATGTACTGCTGTGCACTTGTCTTTGCTGCCTGATGCCTTTTGTTTGGCTCTTCTCTCCCACTTGTTGCTAACGTTCTCCCGCCCTGGAGCAGAATCAGGTCCAGGCCCTGGGGACCCTCACCTCATCGTGAGAGGGCTGTGGGCCATACGTCACCCTGCAGAGACTCCTGCTCTTGGAGCTGCTCCCCCCCCCCCCCCCCCTTCCGCTGCGGGGAGGATGGTCCACGTGCCGCCACGCGCCTGGCGCTGCTTGTTCGCCTTCCTTGGCGAAACCCCAGCCTTCTGCCTTCCAGCAAAAGAAAATGTTTTTTAAAAACTGAATTTGGCTGGCTCGGACAAGGCGTCTTCTCAGCCTCCTTCACATAAAGGGCGTTTGTTGTGTATGGAAACATACCCTCCTCTGGAGCTGGCTGTGGAAACAGTGGTCTCTATTGAGCAGTCTTATCTTTGGGCTTGGGCTCGCCACAGAGTGCTGATTTTTGTGACTTTGCAGTTAATATATTTAAATACCAAGAAGATAAAAGTCCTGACAATATGACTTGGTCCTAAAAAGTGCTTCCTTGGGGGAAAACATAGGGGGATACTACAAAAAGATTGCTTAAATAAACATGAAAGCCAGGGACACCGTAATTCCTGTTATACAAGAAGGTAATTCCAAGACAGTGGTTAGGAAGAAAATAGCTTCTTAAGACTCGGGAACAGTCTTTTCTCTGATGCTTCTAGGAGAATAAAGCTTTCTCCCAGCATGTGTAACAGGGGGGTTAATCTCATCCTTCACAAAAAAGCCCTGTACAAATAGTCCCTGGGTTGCTACGCAAGTCTGGTCTTTTCCAACAGCTGCTGGAAGAAGCTTGGTTTTGAGTTCCTGGTGAAACAAATAGCTTTTTGGAAAGCTTGCCACTTGCTGTTTTGTGTACAGTGAGGTGTCATGAGGCAGCTGAGCTCATTTAACAGCTTGCTTCTGCCAAAAGAGACAGTCCCAACCACACTCTGCTGTGGATTGTCTCATGCTAGTTCTTGTGCTCATCCACCTACTTAGCAAGCTCAAGCCAGAAAGACTGAGTCATGGCAACCCCCCAGACAATGCCAAAAAGCCCCAATTCGATGGAAAAAGGTTTACTTTCTCCTGGCAATGTCTTCTGAATCCCCTCTGCAAGGGTTCACAAGTGCCAGAGCTGGCACATGAAAGAAAATGAAATTCATACCTTAACCCATGCAGCATACCATGCCTGAATCTGAATCATGGAAATGATTGCTGTTGCTGTAGCTTCTTTAATTTGTTTCAGGAGCAAAGGAAGCACAGAATGGCTGTTTTTTTTGTTGTTTTTTTTTTTTCTGTTCTTTTTTTTTTGTGCAAGCAAAGCCTTTTTGTGGCTGATTTAAACAGTGAAGAAAATTACCCCAGCAACTTTCTGTAAAATGAGTGTCACTAACTTACTACATTGTCCTTTGCTTTTCTGTCTGCCTTCTCTGTGTCACTTTACTTGTGTCCAGCTCTGCTGCATCCTTTTTGCATTGCATGGAGGTGGAACCTTCCTGATCCTCACTGCCCATAGACCACATTCACTCACATGTTGCATCATTCTCACACTAGCCCAGATTCCTAACTGTAGTCTTGCTCAGTGCTTCAACTGCATCACTCTCCATTTTGCTGCTCCACCCTTTGTTATGTTTTCATCTCTTGATCTTTCCATCTCCAGGCAATCCTGAAAGTCCCGGCTCCCAGTCTGGTATCTTCCTCTGCAGCTCTGCTTCCTGAAGAGATGCAGCAAACTGCATTATCTAAGGGTTAAGACTGCCTGATTTTCACATTCATGTTGCTTGATTACAATGGACAGAACCTGTGAGGACAGGTACATCAGATACGTGTTTAAGAGTATGTCCTGCAACATCAAAGAGGCGTGACCAGCAGGTCGAGGGAGGTGATTCTGCCCTTCTGCTCTGGTGAGACCCCACCCGGAGCACTGTGTGCAGTTCTGGTGTCGTCCGCACAGGAAAGATGTTGGGGCAGGTCCAGAGGAGGCCAAAAAGATAATCAGAGAGATGGAGCACCTCTCTTATGAGGAACAGCTGGGAGGGTTGGGCTTATTCAGCTTGGAGAAGAGAGTGCTCTGAAGAGACCTTATAGCAACCTTCCAGTACCTAAAGGGTCCTACAAGAAAGCTGGACAGGGACTTTTTACAGGGCTGTGTAGTGACAGGGCAAGGGTGAATGGCTTTAAACTGAGGGTCTATTTAGACTAGATATAAGGAAGTTCTTCACTGTGAGGGTAGTGAGGCACTGGCACAAGTTGTCCAGAGAAGTTGTGGCTGCCCCATCCCTGACAGTGTTCAAGGCCAGGCTGAATTGGGCTTTAAGCAACCTGGTCTAAGGTAGGTGTCCCTGCATGGGCAGAGGGTTTGGAAGCAGATAAGTTTAAGGTCCCATCTGACCCAAACCATTCTGTGATTCCATGATTTACCAGGGAAAGATGCAGTGCTGCAATCCAGAAAGCTCAGATGTGTGGTGCCCCCACGCACTTAATAAAATTCCATCATTCTCATTTGCATACTTGATTCTATTAGCTTTTTTCTGTTGTTGTTTCTAGTGTTCCTCTGCATTTTCTGTCATGCTGAAGACCCATGGGAGTTTTTAAATAGTAGTGTGTAATAAACACATTTTCTCACAGATATCACTGATGTTTGGTGTTGCCTGTTGGCAGTGATGCAGTGAGAAGGTTTGCTTGTAGAATTTAAGACTCCAGAGGTACTGTATTAAAAGGTACTTTTCTGGTTGAGTTTGTGCACTCTCCAGCACCAGCACATAGACTGGCCTTGCTGGGAGCTCCTCTTTCACTCCAACACGGAGTAAGCTAGGTCATTTTGAACTACCACTTGGATGCTCTGAGCAGCAGCAAGCTCTTACAGTGCTGTCGGAAGAGTGCATCTGACTGTGCAAATGGAAAAACTAATGTTGGTGAAATGGGACAGGTTGCAGTGTGTCCTGCATCTTGGCTTGCGTGAGGTGGAGGTGTCTTGCTGTCTCTTCCTTTTAAATTTTCAGTCCTGCTTCCCAGGGCTGGGTGAAGCTGGGGCATGCTCTGGAGCCGTCAGGTGTGGTGTGATGGCTGCTTGTGTTTCCAGTTCCAAGCAAAGAAAAATTGAAGGGGGGTGAAGCATTATGCTAAGTCCCTTGCTCTGCAGGAGGAAATTGGATGTCTTGTGACCTTCACTTGAAAGCTGGATAGTTCAAGTTGTCCTAACCTACAGCTGCAGGGAAGAGATTACCACATCCTTGACTTGGTAAACAACATAGCTGTTTGAAGGCCAAGAGTTTAGTACAAATAATCGTTAAAACAAGGGATGTTTGTTTATTGTTTTTTAAAGGTGCAGAATCCAGCACGAAGAAGTTAGGAAATGCCAGAGTTAAGGCAGTAATTACCTCCCCATCTGTGTTCTGCCAGCTGAATCAAGAGTCGTGCTGACATAAGGGCAGAAATATCTGGGGGCCTGGTGATGCTGGAGCCATGTTGGTGGTGTCTGGCTGCTTCAGATGCTGTGAGCACACATGGGACAGGCTGGGCTTGCCTGAAGCTGGCAGGGCTCAGAAACACTTCCCCAGCAGCATGAAGGCCCTACCATTCAGTTGGGCAGACAGAATGAAGCACCCAAGTCAGCAGGCACAACAGGAGGACAGCTGACTTGGCTGGCTGTAGGTCAGAGCTGCATTTCTGTGTGTTGTCACTGAGGGCTCCTCATCTCCTTGGCTTCAGCCCCATCACTTGGTGAGACAGGCAGGACACCAACACAAGCCCTTCATTGTGCTGCAGCCTCAATTCATCTCTGCAGCTTTATGAAATAATACATGCATATTATCCTGCTTCTGGAGATGGCTTGATAATGAACAGGGAGAAGGCGTTTAATTAAGATTATATAGGTAGATGCATTTCTGGCCTGGTAATGCAGGGTACAGCAGGTATTCTTCCTGTTCGCAGTTCACCGCTTTAACAAATGCCTTCTGCTCTAGACCCCTGCATTGTTTATTTAACTGTCCAGCTTCCTGAGGAAGAGAATCTCATTCACTGTGTGAACTTGCTGAGAAGTTACCATGCAATGTCCAGCCGCGCCTTTAGCAGCAAATACTCGGACCCTGGGAGATGCAGATGCCCTTCTGTGCCCTGTTTTTGTTTTAGCTGGGTGTATAACATGGTATCCATCTCCTGGGGTGCTTTGAGGACTGCTTAGCAAGCTTTCTCCTACCCTGGCTAATAGTTCCAGAACCATGAAATGCAGTAAGGGCCATCCTTTTCCGTGGGTGTGCCTAGTTTCTTCAGAGGCTGCTGCAAAGATCCAGAGTGTCTGAGATGTGTGAGTAGTCGTGTGGGTTTTTTTAAGGTGGTGTTGCTTGCTCAGAGTCTGACAATACATTTTTTATCTGATGAGATCTATTTGGGTTACTTTTGAGCTTTTAAAAAAGATTCTTTAAAAATACAATATTTTAAATATATAACATTAAGTACAAGTGGATTCTGAGAGGCTGTAAAGTCTTTATAGATGCTGTAAGTGCCAAAGCAGCTGTGGGCTGCGTCAGTGCCCCAGAAGTTTGCACTTTGGCTGAAGGTTCTTTGGGAGCCCTTAAAGTAATTCTTGCTATCATGCTGTGTATATGCATTTAGAAAATCACCTGTTAGCCGCTTCCTCTCTAAAAACCAGAAATTTTTGGATTCTTTTGAACTTTGGGCGTAAGACTTTTCCAAACATACATCTTAAACCAAAACTTGAAATTCTTGCAGCCATGTAGGGGTGGGCCTTTAAAGAAGAAAAGTGCATTAAATATAGTTAAGGCTCACCCACACTTTTACATCAGGATAAGGAGACCAGCTACTACTCTCTTTGTATTCCCTCCTGTTCCTGCTCATGCTAGCAGCTCTTTCACTACCCTTCTGCTTTCCAGGGTAATGACTCTTGGGACTGAGCTATCTCACTGACCATCTGTGGCCCATAGAGCAATTTGTAGTGGATAATCCCTCACACTAAACCCTTCCAGCACGTGCTGCCTGTTAGTTTTGGACCTTGTCCTTTTCTGAGCTCACTGTAGGCCTGTGAGATGCTGTGGCAAGGTGCCATCCTTCCCACATCTGGGGGAATGGTGCGGAGCTCCTTGGTGGGCTCTTAGTTCAGTGAGGTTGTGCCCCCAAACCCTGTTTACCACTGGGAAATAGTTAAAATCTTTGGGGGAAAAAATATGCAACCAAGTCACAGCATTGCTTACTTAAGGCTTTTCCATCAGGAGCAGGGTTAGAAGGTTTGCAATTGTAGCCGCCCCCCCCCCCAGCTCAAATATGTACACAGTGATCCAGGTATTATACATGCTGTTTTGCTCATTGCTTTCGTAATGGATAGGGTTTACATTCTTAACCTAGCAGCTGTTCTCATTCCATGTGTTTCAAGCTGTGACAACTCGGGCATCACATCACCACCTGATCCGAAGCACTGGGGCTTGACTAGCAGAGACAGTTGTGAGAAGTTTACCCAGTGTGGGCACGGATGTCCTGTGGCAGGCTGAAGATTCACTAACACAGCCCCTGCTTGCCCATAGCATCCCAGAATTTATAAACTATGCAAGAGCAGTGCCAAGCAGTAGCTCTCTTATAACCCCTTTCAGTGTGCAGCAAGCCATGGATGCAGGGTTTCCTGGATGACACACTGCCCCCGGGTGCTTGTGGTGGGATTATTTTCTTCCCTGAACCGTTCAGTTTAATTTCTGGGTAACCCTGAGCCACTGGCTGCTGCACCACTGCCTGGCTGTTCAAGCACAGTAAGTGCAAGGCACACGCTGCCTGTACACACTGCTGGGTCTGTGTCACACTCCCCACTGATGGCCGCAGGGACCCCTGCTGGTCATCCTTTTTAGGGGGGGGTAAGGGATCTCAGCCAACACAGTCACGTTTTCTGTAAATTCTGCCATATCTCTGGTACTCTCCACTCTCCCTGCCTGTTTAGTAAGGCAACAGAGCATGTAACCAGGGTTCTTTTCTATGCAGCTCTCCCCTCTGCTTCCCCCCCCCACCTTCACTCAGCTTTCCTGTTTCCACCAACTTGGTGTTTTTACATAATGCCAGTGTAACTTTGAATGGATGATGGCCTAGCTCCACTTCCCTGGGCAAGCAAACTGCCCGACAGCCTGGAGTGGCTGCAGGTTGCAGAAAGCCCTGCACCCAGTCCAGCGTGGATGTTTGCAGTCCAGTTACAAAAGCATGGTGCTTGCATTATGCTAATCCCCTGTCTTTGGCTAACGAAGGACCTCCGCTGGCCAGGCAGGACCTATCACAGCACAGAGAATGACATCATTTGGAGAAAGGGCTGCTGTGCACGGCCACCAGTGATTGTGCAGCATCCCTCCCCTCTCACAGGGGGAGGCCGCTCAATGTTGTACTGCGTTATAAATTGGGATGGTTTTAGTTACTACAGAAGTTGTAACTTGAGGGGGTGCAGGACGAGGAGGCATGTGTGACCCCCCTCTCTGTCAGGCTGCAATAATGACATACTGCCATAAACCCTGCGATCTAATTGTTAAGCTCTGTCACCTAGAGACTCATTTCCCCTTAATGCACGCAGTGTTTTTACTTGCCCTAATTTGCCTGTTACAAATAATGGCAAGAAGTGCCGGTACCACGAAAGCATAACTGGTGTGACGCTGCATGCAGGCTCAGCTGTGTGCTGCTTGTGGTCGGCGCAAGGAGCTGCGGAGAAATAAAATGCAAGATGATGGGGCTGCTCAGTGAAACCTCCCACCTCTGTAATGCTGAAACCCCGCTCTCCGACACCAGCACGCGACTCTCGGCATCGCCGTTCTACCCGTTTCATCGCTTACGGACGCAGTTACAATAAACGGCAGCTAAGCACAGACATCTTCCTGGCATACCGTCAGGCAGCCTTGCTGGAGGAAGTTTTTTTTCCCCTTGCAAGCTGCCAAGGTGGACTCCTTATAGCTCCTGCGATAGACTGAATGAGACTGCAGTTCCCCCATCAGTTTCATAATACTCAGAAAGCATCCATTTACATCATTGTGTGCAGTGCAGGGCAGCAGCTGCCAGGAAATTTGAAACTATTTTGATTCCAGTTGACTAGAACAGCAGCAATTGAATTAGCTGGTATCGCTATAGATAAACTGATGATCTGTGCATTTTATTTCTTTGACCAATGGGTAACTGCTGGAGCTACAGTAACCTCTGTGAGTAAGGAGACTGTTCAAGCAAATATCTCTAATTTCTCGAGCTAGCTAATATATATATATATATATATATATACTGTATAGAGAGAGACACTCACACCATTCTTTTGTAAAATGTACCTGTAAACAAAATGTCTGTCTATGCTTGTAACTTGTGTTTTGCTTCCTAGAATTTCCTTTTATTATGCTGTAGACAAGCTTGTTTGACATGGTTATTTACCTATGAAATATCATATCTCTGCCTGATTTAAGTCATGAATTCTTTCAACGTCTAGTCATCAGAAAGACTGCCAATTGCTGTTAGGTTATATTTGCCCAGTCTCAGTTTTCTAGCCACTCACCCCATTTCTATTTTAGCTTTTTCTCTCTACATTTAATTTTCCTTTTCTTTCTTTTTTTCTTTTTCTTTTTTCTTTTTCTTTGGTGAAAGAAGCCACCTTCAATGCAAAGTAGAAATTGGTGTTACCTGAGAGTGTGTGTCCTTTCTTTGTTTGTTTGGTGATGGGTATTTTTTTCCCTGCTCATCTTCAGTGCGGTCCTTAAATTTTGTTGTTGCCTTTCTAGCCTTGTTTGTAATGCAGTCATATTGGGGGATGGGGTTGGACAGGATATGCCAGTAGCTGCAGCAAGACATGATGCTGTGGTGGTGGATGGGAATAAGGGAGGAGTTTCTCTTAAAGAGCTCCAGCTCCTCTGAGCTCTGGTACTTGAAATAGTGCTCTGAGAAAAGGGAAAGGCATTGCACTGTTCAGGAGTGGGGGACAATTGGTGGTGGTTTACTGCAGGGAGTGGAGACCTCAACAGTTGTGTGCATGGTTGTACCTAGGGTAGTGGGGGCAGACTTTGGTGCCATGTGTGATTTACTTTTAATCAGATAGTGAATTAGGCAATGTTCCTGTAAGATGCTGTGAAGGCAAGAATCCCTCTGCCTTGTGCTTGCATGCAGCGGAAGCAGCAGCTCTTCCAGAGTAGGGCTGCTGGTGCCTTGCTGTAGAACGGGCCTTAACTTTCTACTGTGAAAATGCTTTTCTCTTGCTCAGATGAAATTCAGTTTGCAAGTATGGCAAAGGAGTACCTGTGTGCATGCTCCCTCGTCCTGCGTGTCTCTCTGTGCCCGTATATTCACCTATGTGCTCTGCACATGTATGTCGTCACCTGTATATGTGCCTGTGTGCTCTGCATGTGTACCTTTTCTGGAGTCTGCTGGGCTTGCAAGAGGGTAAAGTTTGCTTGGGATGAAGTTCAGGAGAAGTCAGAAACTTGCTAGATACTGCCTACCGTCATCATCAGTGGCTGTTGGTGGTGGAGGGGGACGTGCAGCAGTGTGCTTAGCATTCACCACCAGAAAAAAGGCCACCTCTGTTTCCTTCATGTTAGTTCAGAAGCTAAGGTAGCAGTTAGCAGAGATGAGCTTGGCCCCTTGGCAGGGTTTGTGTGGTGCCTTGTCAGGGCTTGGCCTCCAGTGCACATTGACTGCATCCCAGCCCATGGGGGCCGGGGAGCTATGCTCTGGGCTTCTTTCCAGTGAGGAGGGTTGTGTGGGTTGGAGGGAGGCGTGGGGGGTTCTCAGCTCCAGGGGCACTATGTGTTGCTTTCCTTTGGGATACGGCCAGAGCATTCAGCCCAGGCAGTGGCATGGCCAAGTGCTGCCCTGCTTGGGGGCATGCCGCGATCCCAACTGGAGCACATCCTGCTTGCAGGTCTGCAAGCTGAGAGTTGCAGTAGATGGAGCTGTGTTCATCAAGAAGGGTTCACATTGACTTCTGTAGTGACAAAGTAAGGAGATGGGGCTTTTTGCTGGCTTGGGCTGGTCCCGGTGCAAGTGTAGGGTTGTTGCAGCCACACAACATCATTCTTATCCATGAGTCTGTCCTGGTGGAAGTGTCCCCCACTTCACAGGCAGCCTGCCTCCTGTGCCATGAAGTGGGTGGGCTTGGGATGCATTCAAGCACTGAGTGGCTGAACTGTGTGCTAAGAGGGCTGTTTGTCTGGGGGTTTGGACACTTAGAAAAAACACTGTGCCTGGAAACACTCATATAGGTAGAGAGGCCTTGCTCTCTTCTTCAGCCTCTCCCAATTGACCCACACTTGTGTGTTGGAAACCATGCCATGAAGGCAGGTTGGTGGTGCGGAAGTGGACAAGGCATCCATGCTCCTCACAGCTTACTGGGACCTTGCAGCAGAGAAGAGATCCCTATTTTGTCCAGTCACTGTCCTCAACAGAAACTAAGTCATCTAGGTGAAACCTGACCCGCTGAAGTTTTATTATGGAGTAATTAAATCAACAGCATGCAGATATCTGGAGAACCTACTGGGGAAGAGGCTGTGGTTTGGCATGGTCCAAGCCTGTCAGTTTGATCCTGCACCACACACCGTGTGGGGTATTTATCCTGTGGCTAGATATACTGGATAGTGATCTGACTGGTGTGAGTTGTCACTTGTCTTTACAAACCACTGGCAGATAGATGGCCACATTAGTGTGGTGCTGAGCTTGTGTTAAATTATCCTTCCTCTCACCTTGAACTCAGCTTATCATTAACAACAACTACATGGCTTCCTCCTCAGAGATGGCTTATGGCCAGCCTGCTCAGAGTGGAGATGGGGATCGTTTTTCAGTACAGCACCTAGGGATGCACTTCGAGTGGGGCAAAGCGCCCAAATGCAAGCTCATGTCTGGTTTCCGGGCTGTCACTCCTGACATTTTTCATATAGGTGTTTGATCTGCCCCCTCTGCTGTTTGTTTTAAAACACTTTTATACTCCAGGCCAGTTTTTTCCAGGAGGGTGCAGCAAATGCAGCTGTTGCTGCTTCTTGTTTTGTTTGTTTGTTGTTGTGTTTTCAAGACCCCAGTTCCTCCTTGGGCCATAACAGAAGGTGGCCAAGTATCTGTCATTGTGTCATCTGTGAGATCCCTCTGAGAACAGCTGATTCTCTGTTGCCCTACAACAATGGGAGCCACTGGGTGCTGGGCACATGGAAAATGGCCCACCCGATTTTGCTTCTGCTTTGTTTACGTCGGTTGGAAAAGAAGCATGAAGAGGGGAGGGGTAGCAGCCTTCTTGTGCAGTGGTGGGTTTGCTGCAACAGAAAATGTGAACTACACAGTAAGTGTACCTCGCTGCCCCATGGCCTTCAGTTACCTGAGTTGTTAAAGGAAGAGGGTAGTGCAGGCAGAAAGTTGAATTGCTCATTAATTGCTTTGTAATTTAGCTAATTGGTTTTGTCAAGGCTGTGGAATATAAGGGGTGGGGCTGGTTATCTTCCTGGTGTTTCATCTTTCTGAGTGAAAATGACCTAACCCTTTTTTTTTTATTTAATAAAACCAACATGCGTAACACATGCTGTGGATGGATGTCAGGCTGCTGAATATCTGCTTTCTTCAGCCCTTGTGCCTGGCCTGTGGCCTCAGACTGTTTGTGGGCCACTGGGACCCTTTCTGAAGTGTAGCAGACATTTCTGGCATTCCTTCCTTTGCGGCGCACACTCCCAAAGTAGGGCTGCCCAAAAACTCCTATGTAAGAGGACCATCTCTGGATAGCTGCACTGTGAAAGCATGCAGAAGTGAGTTAAATGGAACGGTATTTTCCCTGCAGGGGAGAGCATAGTTACTCTGTTCAGAGAGGGCTGGGGAGGAAGGCCAGGCCTTTTGCTTGTGCTTTGTTTTTTTGTAGATAGGTAAACCCATGCTCTCTTTTTCCCTTGCAGGTAGTGGCCGCGGAAGCAGCACTTTGCTCCCTCATACCATCATCAATGAATTTCCAGAGTATGGCACTGTAGAGGCAAGCAGAGATGGGCTGAGGGCAGAGCCTGTAACACGCAGCCCAGAAAGCCAGGACGGTCACCACCAGGTACCTGGCAGGCCCCTTCCGCAGTGTGTGGCTCCTGCAGAGGATTCCAGACCTGATGCTGGGGCAGCACAGCTGTGTGCCTCAGAAGAAGGTTTGCAACCTTCGGGTAACTTGTCAGAGATGATGAAAATCTCTCGATGGCTGGAAGCAACAAAGGTGCAAGAGAGAGCAAATACTACCCTTGATTTGGAGACGCAAATGGAAAAACAGAGCGTTACTGGCAGCCAAAATGTGCAGGCGGCCAGAGAACCAGTTCCAGCAGGCCAAGAAAAACCCTCAGACATGCCTCCTCCATCTGAAAGAACAGCTGAGGAAAAAATGCATTTGATTGTAGAGAAAGATCTGGCTGCAATATGGACTGGAGAAAAGCAGTCTGAGTCCTTGCAAGCCATCAGTAATAAAACTGAGGAGGTCCATGCAGCGCAGGAGACAAGCTGTCACAGACCATCTGTAACAAACCTAGAAGCAGCCGGCAGAGTGGAAGGGTGGGCGCGTTTTGAGGAGTTTTCAGCATACAGTCAAGGCAAAATGCAAATGGGTCCTGAGAGGAGGCTCTCCAAAGAGGCAGCTGTGAGCAAACATGTAGAATTTCAAGGGGTGGAGATTTTATGGCTGCAAAAAACTGAGGAGCAGAGAAGAAAGAAGCACTCGCTGCTGGAGACGGTGTCTGTGGAGAGGAAGGCTTTCCCCAAAACCTCCATCCACCCTGTGCCACTGATGGTCTCCCCAGGCTTGGTCTCCTCACCAGACAGTGCTTGGAGCGAGGTCTCTGAGGAGCCACGGCCAGGACCCGCTGCCCTTGGAGCTGTTCCTCGAGCGATGCTCAATGACAGCGGGCAGGATGAAGTTTTTGTGAAGGATAAGAAGAACCGCGGTGAGGAGGAGATGGCTGTGCTAGTGAGAGGCCAGGGCAGGTGAGATACTGCTTGTGGGGGCACAGGGGGCAGGCGCGTTTTTTCTCGTTCCACATGCACGTGGCTTGTGCCTACCCCTTTAGGAGCAAATGGCAAACACCAGCTGTTCGTCTGCTGCCTGGCATGGTGGCAATGGTAGCTGTTCGTGCCTAGTGGTGGCTAGTGCATAAAGTTGGGACTGAACACCCTCCACACCACCTCGTGAAAGTTTGAAATCCACCTCATGTTTGGAAATGTGTCTTGCTGTTTGCAGAGTAATGGCTGCATGGCGAAGCATCTGTAGCAGGTTGCAGCTGGGACCTGGACAGGGCATGCAATTAAGTATAGGCAGCATGCAGGCCTGGCTGGCTGTGCCTGGCCAGATTTTCTGGTTTTGGGCAGAGTTTGTGCAAGAGCAGCGTGAGCACCTCTGAGGCATCGGGTAGTAAAGATGTTTTACCCAAGTCCTTGTATGTTATAAGAGGGTAAATGCTGTGATGTGCTTTCTGTATTACCTAACTGTATAAGATTTTACCTATATATATATATATTGCAAAGCTTGTGTGCTGCTTTTTACGGGATCATCCTGGTGTGCTCACTTTTGTTTCCCCATGCACATCTGTAACAAAGCAAACAGTCCCACCAGTGCAGTCTGAGCAGACTGTGCCTGCTCTGACCTGATGGGGTGTTTGCTGTTGAAACAACAGGATCTCAGCCAAAGGACAGGATCTCAGAGGCTCCTGCCTATACACCTCAGGATCTCTGGAGTTTTGCTTGTGTGTGGGATCACTTGGGCAGGTAGTCCTGACATCTGGTATGTGCCATGAGAAGCTCCACAGTATTTGGAACAGCAGAGAGGAGCACTTTCCACAGGGCGATGCTATACCTTCCCCTATGCTTCTGCAAGCAGGCTGAGTCTTCCCCCTTCAAATCTGTTTCTCTTGGCTCCAGGCTTTTGATTGCATTCACTTCCCTTTGCATTTTGGAGGGATTTCCTCCAGCCTTTGAAGGAAGACCCAAGCCCTAGGACTGCAGAGCCAGCAAACTGACCTCTGACAGCAGCAAACTGACAGAGGCCCCATGTGATTGCATGTCTCCTACTTGTGCAGCCGCTAGCATGGCAGTGGTGCTAGGGGAGGGATTTCTGAGTGCTCTTCTCCTTTGCACATAAGCAGCTGATGTTATCTGTTAGGCAATATTAGGCCTGTCCTCCTTTTTTCACAGAAGATTGTTTCAGTTTATGTCCCCAGAGGGGGAGATGGTGCCAGTCATAAGCAGAGGTGGTGCAAGTAGGAACTAGCGTTTTATCCTCATTGTGCTCTTGGCACAAAGCCACATTGACCTTTCTGTTCGCAAAGGTAGAAGGTAAGGAAGTTCACCCAGAGGTCTAAACCTCTCCCCCCAAGCTGAAATGAGCTGTTTCTGGTTCATTTCCAGGATGGTGGAGGAGGGGGAAGCAGCCACAGGAGGATATGAAGATGTCCTTGGGCAGAGGCACTTCGATGTCTCCACTGATCTGTACAGCTCACAGTTTGAAAACATCCTAGACAATGCATCTTTATACTACAGCGCAGAGTCGCTGGAGACATTGTATTCGGAGCCTGATAGCTACTTCAGCTTTGAGATGCCACTCACTCCCATGATCCAGCAGCGCATGAAGGAGGGTGGCCAGTTTCTAGATCGGACCTCAGCCTTGGGACAACCAGATGTCCTGCAGCTTCCCCCAGATGGAGAGGTGACGGGCTGTGGTGGAGGTGTCGCCAATGCCTTAAGGGATGGAAGTGAAACACTCTTCAGAGGAGACATCACGGAGATCCCTCATTTGGAAAGGTAAAAGCAGTGAGTGAGCTTTCTGTGTGCCTGCTGATTTTTCCCTGATGTCTATTTTTTCAGTGGATAGTCACAGAGCATAGTTTTGCCTCTTTCAACACTGCATGTTTTCTACACAGAATAATTTCCAGTGTAATAGAGTGAGCTGCGGGAGAGAAGTGATCTCTCCAAACCTGCTGTTCATCAGAAAAGTGCAAATTTACATTACAAATGTTTTGTAGGCAGTACTTTTGTCAATAAAAGGCTGGCTGGTATTGGTGCATCCCTGGGACCTGTTCTGGTGAAGTTTCTGACTGGTTACATATCAACATTCAGCTGCAGTTATACCTGAATATACTTACAGTAACTGTAGGAACAATAACACCCTGTGCGCGTAGATGAGTTGTCCAAATGCAGTTTGTGATTGAATGTTAAAAGTGTCTCTGTGCATAGCTTTTCCTCTCCTGAGGTCAGTGGGTGTTGTCCTGCTTACTTCACCTGAGACAAGGTTTTGCTCCCACCACATTCATGGATTAGAGGCTGTAACCTGCTCCTTTCGTTTGTGCACTGGTTACTCATTGAGAGGGGAGGGAGGGTTGCAAAAATGTCAATATTTTCTATTGGGTAAAGAAAGAGATAAGAAAACTATTTTAAGAGAAGAGTCATGTGAGAAGCAAAAACTAGGCTAAGTGGCCAGAAAATAATGTGTAGCTGCGAAAACTCAGTCTGTGAGCAAACGTTTTTCATCGTGTGTTGTCAAAGGCGGGGGAGAGTGAAAGGCAGTGACAGCAAAGTGGGGGCTCAAGCCAAAAGCAGTAGTCTACAGAGGGGTGAGGGACCTTGTGAGGGACAAAGATGCCTTGAGTCTCCATCCTCCAGGGACAGGAGGTTATCTGAGAGTCCTTAAATGGGACTAGTCATTCTGAGCTTTCCTGGGAGTCAGTGGTAGGAGGTCTTTTACCTGTTTTTATTCTTTTTGTGCTGGTGTGAAAGAAGTTCTTTGAGCAGAAGCAGTTTGGATAATTTTATGGATTAAGGTACAGTTTGACATTAAAAGAACAGGCAGAAGGACTTAGGAGTTTAGAATGTTTTTTTTTCCATTAGTCCTACTGAATTTTGTTTAAATCCTGTACAACCCTGAGCTGTTCAGTGCCAATAGGCAGTAAGTGACTGCTAGTCTGCAACAGCCTGGATGGAGCAGGAAACTCAGTTCAGTCCTGACACTTGCAGCTTCTTATACTGAAATCAGAGATTGGTGTGTGGAGGACAAGCAGCACATGCAGACCCTGGTTCTGTTACTATATAGTTGCAGCATCTAGTATCTAAAAAGTACTGTCAAGTAAGGCCCACACCAACTCATCAAGAAACAAGTTATCATATAGGTGTGCTTATATGATGCTTAGAGACACATTAGGTGCCTGCCTAGTATGTATTTCATTGGGAATTAAGTTAATTTTAGTTTAAATTTGCAGCCGTGCAGATAAGCCAACAGAGGATTTAAGAATTCTCCTTTTTCTCCCCTTAACAAAAAATACAAAGAAAGAAGCATTTCCCACAGCAGGTTTGTTAGGAAGCTCTGGTGTTTTAGTCTGCAGGGAGCTGTTAGGGACAAGCCCCAAAACCTTGGTTTGCTAAGAAGTGTTCAAGGCAGGTTGGATGGGGCTTTGAGCAACCTTTGAACATATCCCTGCCTGTGGCAGGGGGTTTGGAACTGGATGATCTTTAAGGTCTCTTCCAGTCCAAACAGTTCTATCATTCTACAGTTCTTTGATTTTGTGATAAAGTGTAGCTGTAGCTGTACAGACAACCACAGATATGCCCAAAAGGGTAATTCCCTGGACTTTATACCTTATTAACCACCCCTCCACCATGATAATCTGATATCATGTCGTATTGCACCAGGATACAGGTGACTGGCAGAGCATGTGTGTTGTATTGTTGGAGCCAGTGATAATCACAGTGTTATAGTGTGTGGGTGAGAAGCAGTGTGCGTGCTGGGGACTGCATGAGATTTATTCACAGAGGTGTGAAGACGGTGTGTTGCTGTGTTGCTCAGGTGAACCAGAAATAGCTGCCTGAGCTGTGGGTACTATTTTTAAGAGTTTGCATGTGTGGTTGTGTTGCCTGAAGCAATTCCAGACTTGTTTGAACCAAAAGTACACATGTATGATAATGTGCAGTAGCCACTGCAGCACCCTTGTACCTTCTGCTGCAAGTCCTTGTTTCCTATGGCACCATGAACCTGCAGTTGTGTTGGGGCTGTAGTTTCCTAATGTGTAGCACCTGCCTGGTGCTTCAGAGCATCAAGGGCCACCCACTGAAATGGTCCAGCTTTTTTGGAGACCAAGTAGGGAAGGCAAGCCCTGTGCCATGCCAGAGGCAGGCACTGCTACCAGGACCTGTGTCCTGCCACTGGTGGTAGGGGTCCACAGGCACCAGGGGAGGCGGCATCGCAGCATCGCACCAGGGGCACCATCACGACTGCCACTATCGCCAGCAGCGGCAGCAGCAGGGGCACCATCACCAGCAGCAGCAGCCGGTTGCCTGCTTGCGTTATCGCTCAGCGCCGCCGGAGGTCTCTGTACCCTGCGTGGAGCCGCCGTCTCTCTTGCAGCCAGGGGCTTCAGAGGCACCCCCTGCCCGCCCGGCGATGTGAAGCCGCTGGAAGGCAGGCGCAGGCAGGATTGCAGCTGGAGGACCCCACCCTGTAGGAATGGAGGCAGATGGGGGTCTCATCGTGTGAAAGTGGCAAGTCCAAAGCGCAGCAGAGGAATTTCGGGTGCCGGGAGTTCGAGAGCAAAGCAGCGCAACATTGCAGTGTGGCACCAGAGGTGTACCCCCGCTTTTACCTAAACTGGGCCTCCAACCCATGGGAACGAAAACCGAAAGCAAAACCTCTGCAGCTCCCTGCGCCGCGGTATTTCGGAGACATAAAAAATCCGTGGGAAAGTGCGTGGGGAGTGTGCTTCCAACTGCCGCGCTAATTTATGGGGGAACAGAGTGTGAAGTACTGGCAGTTCTTCACGGTCCGGTACAGAAGGGGAGGGCGGATGTGAGAGCAAAGAGTTAATGGATTACAGCTGGAGATCGGCAGCCGCGTGCCAAAGAGGGAAGGAGGAGCAGGTGCTCCCCTTGTCCGTGCCCTCCCGCTAGCGGGTAGCTGGGCATGGCAGCACCGTTGGCATCCTTCCCCCTGGAGGGATCCCGACCGTAACTGACACGCGGACCCTAGGTGGCGTGAGGTCCTAATGCGAACCGGCAGGGAAACCTAGTCCCGTAGTGAAATAAGCGGTAGGGTAACATCCTTCTCGGCTCTTAGGAAATCGCTGGCTCTGGGAGGGGTCACCTCTGGTATGTGAAGGCCAGTCACATGCCTTCAGAACTGAAAAAAAAAAAAAAGGAGGAAGAAACAAAATAATAAAATGACTAGAGGCTGGCGGGCTGCAAGTTCGTATGGGCTCCTGGATGTCTGGAGGCTTCGTCCCTGCTGTTCTTCCCATCAGCTGCTGGCCATGGCTAAACGCAGTAAGTCCTGGCGAGAGCCGTGCAACATGCCTGCTCTGACAGCCACCTGCCGTTGCTCTTCCCTGGGCTGTGGGGACGTCAGCAGCCCCCGTGTTTTCCTGCAGGACAGGTTGACTTGCTTTTGCAAGCAGTCCTTTCCTAGCACAGCTTTGGTGCCCTTTGTCTGGTCAGTGGAGGAGGGATGCTTGGGGGAGAAGGGTGTGCAGCTTGAATTCCTTTGGGAATGGTTCCAGCGCTTGGTGTCTTTTCGAAGGCTTAATCTCACTCCTAGATCTGTGATGATTGTCCTTCTTGGAAAAAAACAGATTTCTGCAGCTGAAGGAGCCTTAAGTTTCCTCACATGGAGATGTGAGAACTGGGGTAGTGTCTGATGTTTCAGAGCTGAGAGACAGCCTGTGTATCAGGGCAGTGTGGGGTCCCCATGAAACATATTGAGCCACAGGTTGCCAGTGTAGCGAAGCTTTGCAGTGGCAATAAAGATGTTATATTTGGGCTGTGTTTGATCCCTGTGTTCCCACATTATCCCTGCAGTCCCCTCCATTGTACCTGTGCCCTAGGTGCTGCACTCCTCCCTTCTTGTGCCAGTAGATTGTGTTGAGATGGAGCAAAGCTCAGCCTTGGTAAATGGGAATTCAGTCTTAATCACAGAGGCTATAAGGAAGACTCTTTGTATGGTGCTACCCATACATTGAGCCTGATGCATCACCTGAACAGGATATAATAATTTACACCAAATCAGAGTGGGAGGAAGGGGATGTATTTCCAAAGGACTAAGATACACCTAGGAAGAGAGAATTATCTTCGCTATGTATACAGTGAGCATTAGAGCATCATTTTATCTAAAAGGGAAATATGAAGTTCTCTCAGTGATGATCTCCATCTTTCTTTTCTGCTTTCAGACTTTAAAGACAGAATTTTTTTTAATCTCTCTTTTTTTTTCTGCATTCTTTATAGCAGACTTCTTGTTCTGTCTTCCCTTGTATGCTACACTCAGAACAAGAAAGTAAAAGAATACAGAAAAACTTCTGGCATTTGTTCCAAGTTCTCTTGGAAGATGTGGTCTCTGTTGGCAGGACATCACTCAAGATTTTCTAAATCCAGAGAGAAAAGACAAACTGTATTGCAGCTCCTAATCCTCAAAAATGCTAGATATTTGCCACCTGCCATCATCTTCAAAGAATTGATGGTGCTTAGCAAATTCTGCAAGTCCTGTTACTTTATTTTTCCTAGAGGTGCAAACACAAATTTAGCCACGTATGTATTCTTCTGTAATTCAAGGAGGAGGAGGAGGAGGAAGAAAAACTGCCTAAGGGAACCTGGTGTTCTCCAAGTAAACGCACAAGAACATGGACTGCGGTTCCCGATGGCTGCCAGGTTACTCCTAATAGTTTTGGCATCTCATAGTAGTTCCCATAGTTGTTTTCTTTCTTACAGATATAGGTCTTTTCTAGCAGTTTCTTCTTTGGCACTCTGCTTATTCCTCTTTGAGGCAATAA